TTTTTTAATTTTTTTTTTCTTTTTTTTGGGGTTTTTTTTTTTTTTTTTTTTTTTTTTTCTTTTGATCCGACTGTGATACCGAAAAATTAACTTTTCGATATCACACCTCTGTTTTTGGTTAAAGTAAACATGACACTTGGAGTTCTTTTTTTTTTTTTTTTTTTAAATTATTTTATTTACTTCTTTGTTTTTATGATCAATGACTATATATCCAAATCAAGACAAAATCAACAGTGTATAAGTATTTTTCATATAGTATAGAGAAATCACTTTTCGGAAAAATTATGTCATCTTTTGTTTGTTGTGAGAGTAGTAATGAATGGTGAATCCCATTTTTCTTTTATTGGGATATTTTCACCTCTAAATTAGAATTAAAAAATAATATTATTTGAATCTAAGAAATTTACCCAATGAATTGAACTAATAATGCTTAACCTGAGAGCATTATTAAAATCACAAAGGTTGAGTTTTTTTGTCAACAAGAACGTATTTTTCTGCTAAATCATTATATTAGCTTATGAAAAATGTTATATAATTCAAAAGTTAAACCCCAAATATATATCATTTTTTGGATGAAAAAATGTTATTTGAACTTAAAAAATTGACATAATTTGTTGATCTAATGACGTGGCTTTATTGAAACTATTGGATAAACACCAGATTTCAATGTTTGATGGAGTCCACAATTAATCCAAAGGTCATAGTGGATTAGGAGGTCAATAAATTAAATTCCAATAAAATTGCTCTTTTGGATGAGCGTTGGGACGAGTGAATTCCTCTGAAAAAATTGATAGAACCCACTAATATAAAAGATGATGTGCATTCGAGTTATAATTCTTTAGATTTCATTTGAATTTTGTAATATTATTCTTACCTTATTAGGTTTGAAATACTATTATTTGGATACAAAATTTTCCGATGCATGTGGATTTATGTCAAATGGCGGGTCTCCCCAAGAACGGGTTTTCCGCAACAAGACGAGGCTTGAAAGTGGTACTTGTCGAAAAAAATTCCCCTCACATAGTCACATTCTTCTTGCTTCTAGAGATCTAGGGGACGGCGGCGCACACACATAATTTTATGTGTGTATGTAGGGATGGAGCCTGAATTTTTTCACAGTGCAATCATTGAATTCCACAAGATTATCTAAAGGATTTTGATTTTACAGTTCATGTCTCAATAACTTCAATATTAGAAATTCAATCGAATTTATGGGTCAATTAAAATTAAATTTGTAACAAATTACCACTTAACTTTGATTCAATTTCCATCGAACAACGCTTAATTATATCATATACCTATTTTTATATGTAAATAATAATTGTATTGAATCAAAATTAGATCGAATTTTGGTACATTCAAACCTAAATTCGTCAAATACCATATAATCAATTCAAATCAATTAATTAGTCAAAAATATCAACTTGTGTGACTAATCGAATTTAAAATCAGACCGAATTTATGTCAAAAATCTGATCTATTGACATACATAAGTTTCTAATGTATCAAATAGTCCCATTTAATTTTTAAAATATGAATCTGTACGAGGGAAAAATCTTGTACCTTAAATTGATGGTTGTGGAATCTGGATTGATTGAAAGAATGGACAAAAGAGAACTCTAATTAGCCTTGAAATATGCATAATTATCATTATTATTTATTGACTAATAACATAAGATTTAAAGTTAAATGTGCTTGAATCATGAAGTTCCATGTTTTATTTCGATTTTATAGTGTTTGACTTGTTTAAAGGTAAAGGAGACCAAAATAACCAAATGGGAAGCAAACATACAAAATATGATGGAGCTCGGAGTATTTGGAATGAAGAAAAGATCCATTCTAGAATGTTTGCTGCATCCCGGTGCGATTTGGGACCGTTTGGACAAGAGAAAGCTCAGAAGAAAGACAAAGAAGAGAACCAGATAGTTTTTGATATGCATTCCATGCATCCAGATAGGAGCCTCATTTTGGCAGCTGGCTAGCCATTGACTTTTACTAGGTTTAGACTTTCCTAAGGGACTATATAAATATTGTATTAACCCTAATTTGGGGATTATCCAACCTTTTAGCCTTCTTCCCTAGTTTTTGTGGTAGTTTTGCTTATGGATTGCTAAATTCCTAACTAAAGTTAGGGGTAATTCTTTCAATAAAACTCAGTATGTATTTTTAATCCAATGTTCTTTAACACATGATTTGTCTTATTAATCTATTCTTATGTTTTAGTAGAGTTTTTTCTCTATAAAATCTATTGATTTGTTATACCGCGTTTATTGAATGCTTTAGATTCTCAGCGAGTCAAATAACTTGTTTTGTATGTCTGAATCAATTAATTAAGATTTTCATAAACATAATTGATTCCTGGTTTGGTGTAAAAAGGGGTTTTAATTAAACTCTAACGTCCTGCTATACGTATGACATTGGCTAGGCTTGTAATTACTGTAGCCCCCCAAAAGCTCATTTGACCCCAAAGTGGTACGTATATCATATAAAAGCTGTCACAATCATTAATAGGAATATTACAACTCTGAGACACCGAACAAATTCCTGACGACTACAGTGAAGTGCTTCATGGTATTGGAGCACGAATGCAAAGGAGTCTCTTTCTTTGGAAAGAAAGTAAGGTCTTTGCCTTTTAGCAAGTGAACGTTCCTTGCTTTTTTCAACTATCATGCCATTATAAATGAAGGGAGTAAGGGATGACCTTTGCCTTTCCTAACCTTAGTTGGACAGCTTGATTAATCATCAACTCTAAGTATGGTGAATGCTTGTGATCTACGATTAATTACTAATTTTTAAACAATCAATTTATCAATTAAATCTTTGGAATTTTTTTTGGAAAAAATTGTGAAAAAATACACCGTTTTATACTTATTTGTGTAAAAGTACCTCAATATAAAATATATGTATATAAGTACCTGTATGTATAAATATTTGGTGAAAATGTACACTTTTGCTGAATTATAATTTTTTTTCTTATGAAATTGTCTATTTCCTTTATTAATGGGAGACAAATAAGACAGTTATATTAGAGATTTTATTTCCTTATTTTATGCTATATCTTTTTAAAATTTTAAATTATATCTTCCTCTTTCATTCAACTGAAGTTATTCAAACATTCATGTCTTCCCTACATTTATATAATTTATTTATTTTTTGTTTTTTTATAAATCGTAATGAGCAATATATGTTTTCACCTTATATAATACCATTGATTGTAATGAGTTTTTTTCATGAATATTTTAAATTTAAATTTATATGTATGTTATTCAATGTGTTTATAAGTAGTAATGATACATGTCGCATTGACACAGTGGTACATCTTACATTAGCACAGTAGTTTAGGCAAATATTTAGGAATCTGTTTTCTTCTACAAAAGGGGATAGTTTAGACATTTGCTATGTATTTTAAATTTTTTGATTGATATTTTTTAATGTGGTACTTTTTGTCCTATATTTTCAAAAAAAGATATCGGCCCCCTGAAATACCATATTTTTTTTCAATATTATCACAACTCAAGCTATTGATTAAGGTCACTCCTCAGCTGATCTTTAATTGAGTTCAAAAATCAGAACATAATAAATATTGTGTAGAGTTGAAAACGAATCTCTGATACTTTAGTATATCACAATTGTTATTTTGTTGTTTTCTTAAAAGAAATGATTTTCTCAAATACTTTCAAAGAAATTTTCCTTTAATTTTCTATTGTGTTCCAAATTTTCTCCAATTTAGACTCCCAAAAATATGTTATTATGCTCAACTTGCACTTGGGTATTGCATTATTAAAATTATAGCAAGTTTTTGACCCCGTTGCCAAGAAATCTAGTAAAAGCAAGGAGCACCACACCACCATCAATTGAGATTTGGTAGATTTGAGATTCATCACAGATCCAATAATTTCATTCCATAATTTATTTTCATGTTATTTATTTTCCTTGTTTCTCTTAGTTTCATCCCCTTTTATGAGCTCTTGGCACCATGAGCCAAAGTGATCGTTTGATTAGAGAAGACCTAGAGTTTTTATTTGACAATTTATTTGATTTCCCTATACACTCTCACACGGACACTATCCTGGCTGATGACGGTAGTAATCATAAGAATAATGAGTATGACGAGGTTAATAATAATAAGAATAATTTTTTCACGTTAATAATAATTCATCGGTTAGAACTTTGTCTGAATACCTGCAGCTTGCACGTCATAGTGCATCATCATGCATTATTTTTCTGCTACAAGCCACAGTTTATTTTTAAACCGGGTATAATTGGATTACTTCCTAAATTTCATGACTTAGTTTCTGACAATCGTTATCTCCATATTAGAGACTTTGAAAACGAATGTGCTACCTTTCATGACCAAATTGTGACTGAAAACACAGTCAGGTTGAAATTTTTTTTCTTTTTTCACTAAAGGATAAGGCTAAAACCTGGCTAAACTCTTTGAGATCTAGATCAATAGGCACATGACAAGGGAAGTAGAAAAAAATTTTGAATTTTTTTTTCATACATCGCGCTAATGCTTGAAAAGACAAATCATGAATTTTTCTCAAAGGACAATGAAATTTTTTTATCAATGTTGGGTATGGTTTAAAGATTACTTGTATCTTGTTCACATCATGGCAATGAAGGAATGCGCACAATCAATTTTTTCTATGATGGTTTGTAACCTCAAATACGTCAATTCATAGATATGATATCTAATGGAGAGTTTTTGAATAAGGACGTAGATGAGGCATTTGAATATTTTGACTACCTAGTTTAGAATGTCCAATCTTGGGACACCACATCTATGGAAAATTCATCTAGTGGAGGTAAATACCAACTCAAGGAGGAAAATGACCTAGGGGCTAGGATTGCCACCTTGACCTGTAAAATCGAGGCCATGGAACTTAAGAAGGTCAATGAAGTTAAGGTTGTACCTCAAGAAGAGGTTTGTAGTATATGCGAGGTCTAGGAACATTCCACACAAGAGTGTCCTACAATTCCAGCTTTTATATAAGGTTTTGCATGACCAAGCTAATGTTATAAATAACTTTAGGAAGCCTTACCCATCCTCACATTCTAAGACATACAATCCAGGATAAAAAAAATCATCTTAATTTTAGTTAGAGGAATGATAATATTGCACAACAACCACCTCCTTAAGGGTCTTATAATTTTGTCCGATGCACTCTACCCCCAAAGAAGGCCATTGAAGATGCCACCCAATCAATACAACAATCCATGCAAAGTCAAATCACAATCAATAACCAGACTTCTCAAGCTTTAAATGAAATTAAAATCACTCTCACTAAATTGACCACTACACCATGCCATTAGAAAAAAGGTAAATTTTCAGCATAGCTACAAGCAAATCCATAAGGTCCATTTACTGTGAGTGAATCCACATCATCTGACACTCCCCACGAGTAGGTCAAGTCCATTATTATCTCCACAGTGGCAAAATAATTGATAAAACTATGCCAATGTATTTTGAGGAGAGTAGTGAGCTTGACAAGCCCAAGGAAATAACCAGTTCAGATGAGAATAGTGAGGTTGGCAAGCCCGAGACAAGTGAGGTTGTGAGATGTCCCATTCCTGTTCCTTTTCCCAAGTAGTTACACTCACCACCAAAGCCTAATCTCAAATTTTAAATTTTAGAGATTTTTAAGCAAGTCAAGATTAACATCCCTTTGTTAGGTGCAATCAAACAGATACATTATTATGCTAAATTTTTGAAATATTTGTGCACCATTTATCATAGGCTTAACGTGCAAAAGAAGACATTCTTAACAGTGCAAGTGAGTGATCTCATTCAATAGAACACTCCACCTAAATATAAGGATCTTAGCTACCTACTATTTCTTGTGTGATTGAAAAGTTTAAAATTGAACAATCTTTACTAGATTTGGTGGCTAGTGTTAATCTTTTACCCTACTTGGTATATGAACAATTGTGTCTTGGTGAGTTGAAACCAACTTCTATAACTATTCAACTTGCTAACCGGTTTGTAAAGGTATCGAGAGGAGATGTTCTAGTCCAAATAGAAAATTTTTACTTCCATGGTGACTTTATTATTTTGGACATGCACCTTGAGTTGAATGCTAGCACTTAGATTGCAGTCATATTAGGTCGTCCATTCCTTGCCACTTCAAATGTTTTGATAAATTGTAGGAATGGAGTTATAAAACTTTCTTTTGACAATATGATTTTGAAATTGGATATTTTCAGTGTTTGCATACAACCAAAGGATGAAGAGGACTTACATGAATTGAACTTGATTGAGTTGATTTTACATTATCAATTTAATTACTCATCTAGTCTAGAGCCACTTGAATCCTCCTTGCTTAATTTTTTGTCTTTAGAGTTTGGTGAAGAAAATTCTGAAATTCATGAAATAACTTTTATTTTTAATCCTTCACAGGTGAATGAAGTGAGAGAATGGAAGCAAAAGTTTGAAGAGCTTCCAGCATTAAATAATTTGCCCAAACTATCTAGCTTACAAGTGCCAAAGCTTGAGTTAAAGCCCCTAGCAATTGACTTCTGTATGCTTTTCTTGGCCAAGAGGACATCTTTTTGGTAATAATTTCTTCTCAACTTAGTTCATCCCAAGAAGGCAAGTTGCTTAAAATCCTTAAAAGCATAAGAGTGCTATTGGTTGGATTACTGTTAATATAAATGGAATTAGTTCCTTGATGTGCACACATAAAACATATTTGGAGAACAATGTCAAATCATCTTGGGAGATGCAAAGAAAACTCGACTCCAATATGAAAGAGGTGGTTAGAACAGAAGCGTTAAAAATATTGGATGTAGGGATCATCTACCATATAACTCATAGTAAATAGGTAAGTCCAACCCAAGTTGTCCCTAAGAAATTTGGAGTGACTATAGTATTTGACCATAATGAGTCAATGCCTAACTGGTAGGCATATGTGCATAGATTATAGAAAACTCAATGCCATGACAAGAAAATATCACTTTCCCTTGCCCTTTATGGATCAAA